TCATTTCTGAGGTTTCCTGAAATAATTACAAATAAACAACACCAATGATTATATAATTTTAATAATGAATTACTTGTTCTTTCATTTCACACAATGTCATCAATGACTTTGCTACATCATTAACATAACCAAAGTCCCCTTGTCTCCAGAACAATTCCTCTTTATCCTTCATGCTGTTAGCCCTACATACATAACATATGAACACAATAGTGTATATAGTAATGTACTGTATAACAGTAGTGTACTATGCACTATTATATTGAATGCACATTGACTTGTGTGTGTGTATGTGTGTATATGTGAAAGCGGGAAAACATAGATTAAATAAGAAATAAAATACTTCCAAAAATAGATTTAATATAATATTATTTTTGCCGAGCTGTTGCAAATTTAATTTTCTTATAAAACTCCCCTTCCTCACCCTGGACTAAATTTTGCATTGCGATTACATGCAAACCACACCCATTCTATTAGGTTATTGTATCGTACCATGGTTTAGCTGGTTCGTCACAGTACGGGAGGAACAACCTTTTTCCCTCGCTGCACCAATCCTCATACCCCCAGCAAGGAGCCCCACCCACCTCCTACCATATAACGATCTCCAATAATTTAAAAAACTAGACGACATGTACTTTGCATGTTTCCGGATTGAGACACGCCTCCTCTAACATTCGGTCTAGTGTGTGAGGAGAGTTTAGGACACCTCCCCCAATTTGTCTATCTGTTGTATTGCTCCCAGCCACGCCCTGGGGATGTACCCACGGTATTATAGCTACCAGAGCTGGTCCTAAATAAAGGAGGGGAATCAGAGGGAGGGAAGAGGAGGAGAGAGAGCTGGAGGCAGCAGTAGACATATTTTTTGGGTGTTAGACAGGCAGCAAGGGTGTGTCCCTGCTAATTAAAGGGTAATTAAATATAACGTGCGTGTACTGTACCATCAAGCGATTTCGCACTTGTCACTCAACACTCCAAAGTCTGTTACTCTGTCTGATTCTATCCAGGCCCTTTCCCTCTCTCTTTCTATCTGAGATTGACGGACTCTCCTTCTCCTTTTCCTTCCTCCGTGTCCTCAGGAATCCAGTAAGTTCTGGCCTATTAATCTAGCGCACAAAATCCTCTTGTTTTAGCGAGAGAGAAAAAGACAAAGTTAAGGAAGTAGCTGGTAGATCCGATGGCTACCAACGATAAGAATACGACAGAAGGATGGCTCCTAATATCACACGGTAAGAAAAAAGGCACCAGTGTATTGTTATGGCAAGTATTGTACATGTACATACATGTATGTACATTTTTATGTAGATCTGTTACCATTACAGCTTTATTGTATGTATATGTACATATTTTCATGCTCTTCACTAAATTTTATTATTATCACATTAGTGTAATACTACTTTTTAAAAATTTCTCATTGATACAACTGATTCATCGTGTTAACATCTAACTGCGTTAAATTGCGTTAATTTATTATTATAAACTTGTAATCCCCACTCTCTCTCTCTCTCTCTCTCTCTCTCTCTCTCTCTCTCTCTCTCTCTCGTATAGACATGAGTTCTACTGCTGAATGGCAGAAGAGATACTGTATAATAGCTCATGATGACAGAAAATTGTACTTCTTTTTAGACCAAGACGTAAGTAGAAAGAAGGAAAGAAAATTGCATTCTCAATATTTTTATGTACATATACATACATGAATTTCTATATTTTATACTTGTATGTTCATGTACACCTACTTTTACTGGCAGCATAATAATAGCATCATTCACAATAACTTGCTCACTACTACACACACTCACATGTGTGACATTCCCAGGCCATTAAGTACATCACTTTTTCTCTCACACATAATATCCACTTTATGTACATGTACATGTACGTGTACATAATAGTATGCAGGGTATATCCTCATTTTCATTGTGTGTCATTATCTTTTGTTATTGAGGTACAGTACTCTCTATAATACTCTATTGTATTCTTTAACAATAGTAACTTTCTATAAGCATTACTATACATTTGTACTTGTACATATTGTATTATTTAACTGTATTAATCATCTACTGTTGGATAGAGTCTTCTTTCCAAACCACATACCAGGAACAATAGTGTCCTTGTGTGACTGTTCTTGTCCAGTTCATGCATTCTTCATGTTCTTGAGATTATTTTGAGTATACACACAACATATCTGTCTCTCTCTCTCTCTCTCTCCCTCTCTCTCTCTCTCCCCTCTCTCTCCCCCTCTCTCTTTCTCCCCCCTCTCTCTCCCCTCTCTCTCTCCCCCCCCTCTCTGCCTCCCCCCTCTCTCTCCTCATTATACTTTTAAAGACTTAGTTTATTTGCTATAGTAACAAGTCTTAACTCCTACAATAACAAAAGCATTACATAACCTTCATATACACTCTATTAAGTACACTATAGTAACACTACTGTACATTATATAAGCTACTCTATATTACATTCAATAGCACAATAATGTACATATACATGTACTGTACATGTACATGTACATGTACATACCGTAGTACATCCAGATAAGGAGGAAGAGAGAGGGTAAGGGGAGAGAGAGAGGGGAGGACATTTTTATTTTATTATTGTACATGTACATGTATGTTTATTATCCACAATAATTATTTACTCTTTCCATGATTGTTATACTATAGAGCATAATCCTTGTATTTTGTCCTCATTTTATTTGTATAAATAAACAAATTCTTACCCTATGCATGTACACGTACATGTACATGTATGTGTGTGTGTGTACATGATTTGGCGGCTGGTGAGTTGAAGTTAAGCAGGTGGGATATGTAGTTATAATAATAATGATGATGATGAATTGGTATCATTTCACACTCCAATAGATCAATCCTCACTTTCTTCCTCCCCCTCTCTCTTCCTTTATCTCCTCTCTCTTTCCCTCTCTCCCCCTTTCTCTTTCCCTCTCTCCCCCTCTTTCCCTCTCTCCTCCTCTTTCTTTCTCTTTCTCTCTCTCTTTCTTTCCCCCCTCTCTCTTTCTCTTTCCCTCTCTCCCCCTCTCTCTTTTTCTTTCCCTCTCTCCCCCTCTCTCTTTCTCTTTTCCTCTCTCACTCTCTCTCTCTCTCTTCTCTCACCTTCTCTCTCTCTCTTTCTCTAGACTGCCATTATTAACAAGCCTCCTTCTTCCCCAAGATTCAACCTCAGACCATCAGGTAATGCACGTGTACATATACATGTATGCACATAC